GAATTGAATGTTCCAGCGGTAATTTTGTTACACTTATTATTGTGAACTAAAACAACAGAATTACAGAACGAAACATGCATGACATCCAGATCACTTGCGCAGAGCAGTCCTGGCTCGCAGCAAGTACATCTCCTTCCTCGCGGAGAAATAGGCGACGAGCTCGTCCCTGCTCCTCAAGCACTGCTTCACGGTGGCGTCGTTCACGTAGGCGTCGGCCCACTCGCGGAGCGCGGGGAACTCGTCGCCGTTGACGAGGGTCACCCCGGTGACCTCCTCGATGACTCCAATCCAGTGCGCCAGCCCACAGGCGGCGATGTCGATGAAGCCGATAGCGTCGCCGCCGAAGAACTTCCTCCCCTTGAGCTGCGCCTCGACCAGAGCCAGGTTCTCCTTCGCCTCCTTCGCGAAGGTCTTCTTGACCTCCTCGTCGTCCGTCCAGAACGACATCCAGAACGGCCGCGCGAACTGCGCGATCGAGCATGTGTCAAACGTTGACTATCAGCGAACTCAAGATCATAGCTTTTTTCCCCAAAAAGAAGAGAGATCGATCTTGGTACCTTTTGGTCGATGAAGTTGGCCCAGAACCGGGCCTCTGCCCTCGCGTGCGGGTCGGCGGGGAGGAGCGGCGGCCCGTCGAAGGCCTCGTCGACGTACTCGACGACGACGAGCGACTCGGAGATGGCCCTGTCGCCGTGGAGTAGCACGGGCACGAGCTTGTGCACGGGGTTGTGTGCCAGCAGCAGCTCGCTCTTGTTGCTCAGGTCCTCCAGGATGAGCTCGTAGGGCACCCCTTTGAGGCGCAGGGCCACCTCGGCGCGGTGCACGAACGGGCTGGCAAAGGAGCCGATCAGCCTCACCGCCGCCGGCTCGGTGGTCGTCATCTCCTCTGATCTTCTACCTCCGGTCCGTTCTTCCGGTGAAGGAAGCTTTATTTGTTTAGAGCACTTGTGATGTAAGTACTACGAGCTTTGCCACTCCTGCTCTGCACTTGTAGTGTGCTGGTCAATGGTGTACACTGCACACGCAAGCAAGTTGTATCAGAATATTGAGCTGGTGCGGCTGATGAACGTGCTTTGGTCATAGAGTATCGCCAAAAGAACGGGCGATGTATCAGTTGGACGATGGTGTTATTGCTCTTTTTATTATGCAATTGCTTTCTTTTTTTGATGCTGCAGGGCTTGTTTAGGACTCGAAGATGCTTTCCCACGGTCCGAAGCTGTTGCGTGCCACGTCACTTAGAAGCCGACATTGACTGGGCCTAGCTGTGCTAAAGTTGCCATGGTCTCGGCCGGTATCAGTGGGTTCCATTCAGCCCAATTGCTCCCTACATCAAATATTACTACGGTAATGCTCTCCTCACTCGCCCAAACAATCCCCTCCTATCCGCTCGTTCGACTCTCCAGACATCATAGTTTCTAAAAAAAAAAAACCACCACAGCGGAGCTCGGCCAACGCACAGCTCGCAGTGCTTCACCCGCGCAGCTCGCAGCGACCACCCAGGGCGGAGGCCGCCCGCGCACTTCTCGTGCTCCGCCTGCCTAGTTCGCCATGGCTGGGGTGGATCTCTTCTACGCGTAGCTCGTGACGGCCGGGATGGAACTCGTCGATGAACAGCTCGCAGCAGAGCTTACCCTGCGCACAGCTCGCGCTCCACTCGCATAGTGTGGAGACCCGTCGCGCCCTTCTCTATCGGAGCGTCGATCTCTACGCCACCGGCGAGCTCTACACCGGTGAACTCCACACGCCGACAAGCCTCCATTCTCCTAAGCAACAAGGAGATGTTGCGCTGAAACCACTTGCAAGCGTCTGTTTCAAGTGTTTCAAGGTATATTGCAAGTGTTTTATATCGATGTTGCAAAAGTAGATCGGATTGTTACACAAGTTGAAATAGTGTTTCAAGTATATGTTTGATATGTTTCATCTGTTTTCAGACGTATGCTGCAAGTGTTTTATCTGGATGTTGCAAAAGTAGATCTGTATGTTGCATATACATGCATGTTGCAAGTATATGTTTCAAGTGTCTCAGGTGTTTCATACGTATGTTGCAAGTGTTTCATCTGGATATTGCATATGTTTTGCAATGGCTACCATGCTATACACGTGTTTTCCTGGTGTTTCAGACGTATATTGCAAGTGTTTCAACTGTTTTGGACATATGTTGCAAGTATTTCATCTAGATGTTGCAAAAATAGATATGATGTTGCACATGTTGCAGTGGGACCTACTTATCGCAGCCGCCTGCTACAGCTCCTGGGCCTGCGTAGATGCGCGTGGGAGCAGAGGGGGCGCGAGCGGTAGGCGCGGGAAATGGAGCATGCGCAAATCGTGATGTGGCCCCCGCGTGGGCACACGCAGGGTTTAGGGTTTCAGGCCCCCACGTGAAGCAGGTGTAGGTGTGCTGGCAAACAGCAGCATTTGTATTTTAATGATCATCTAACAGTCTAGATTATCCGAAGAGACCATACCTAATAGAATCAATGTATAACTAATATTAAAGACCAAAAGTTCCGGACAGTGAAGAGTTTGTTTCATCCCACATTTTTTACTTTCCAAACCGCACTTACACCCTTCTTGGCTCATTTGTAAGACTCATATGACCCATGTTTAAACGAGTTACAACAACTTGTGCCTAGTCACGATGGATACAAAGTCGAATTCCAAAATGTAATACGTCATGCCCCCGTATCTTGTATGTGACCTAAACTTATAAGCCATGCTCATACAAGTTATACCAACTCGTATCTAGCAATAATATGAAGGCCGATTCTAATATGTATTGGGTTCTGTTACGACGCACAGGTATGTTTTCTAGTTATAATAGCTATGAAACTTTTTACAATGGTTGGGGGGAATTTCGACGGCTCATGTCGCACGATTCGATGGCTAGAAAGGCAGAAAGCAATGAGAGATGATGAGAGGGAGGCGATAGATGTGTCTATGGTCGGTGGGCCTCACCACCTATATCCAAATTCAAAACTACAAGATGCAAATGAAAACTCCGTATATAGGAATCGATAAGACATGCTACTACGACATGATCCGGAATTTAAATTTAAAAGAATAGCCAAGTAACTGAATAGTTTGTGAGAAACTTGGATAGTGATTTTATAAAAGGTTGGTGCTATCTCAACAAGAATTAACGAAAGCTATCTTGATCTAGCCTTGGCATAAATTGCATAGTCACGGATAGAAGTGGGGAAAAAAAAAGGAAGAGAAAAGGGATAAAATACCTTTAAGCCAAAAAAAAAATTGCCCGACAATGGCTATCGCATACTCGTGCTGTCCGGTGCAGTAGGTGAGCGAGTGGCCGAGTGCGACGGCGAGGGGCGACTGAATATGCCAGTAGCTACATGACGACGACGACGACGACGAGATTACTGTTTATTTGGGCAGCATCGAGTTGGCCACCGAGACGCACTTGTCCGTGACGGCGGCGAAGTGGGCGAGAAGCCGCGCCCGGTCAGGCAGGCACGACTTCACCGCTTCGCGGGACCTGTACTCTGCCGCCCACCGGCGCAGGGCAGGGAGCTCCTCACCGCTCGTCATGACGCTCACTCTGGCGACCTCCTCCAGCACGCCCAGCCAGTGCGCAAGCACGCCGCCGCCGACTATGTCGGCGAGGCCGATGGCGTCGCCTCCAAAGAAGCTCTTCCCCTTCAGCTGCTCCTCCACTAGCGCCAAGCCCGCCCTCGCCGCCTCCATGGTGGACGCCCTCTGCGCGTCGCCGTCCGCGAACAGAGCTAGCCACAGCGGCTCCAAGCACTGCTAGTTATAGTTACGGGTAATTTGCTCAAGAGGGATTAATTAAACGAGAATCTTACGATGCTGGAATTGAATCTGGCCGCTAATTACTTTCTCCTGGAGGAAGCGAGCCCAGAAGCGCGCCATGGCGCGGTCGTAGGGGTCGGCGGGGAGGAGGGGCGGCCCGTCGAAGGCCTCGTCGACGTACTCGACGATGACAAGCGACTCGCAGACTGCTCGGTCGCCGTGGAGGAGCACGGGCACCTTCTTGTGCACGGGGTTGTGCTGGAGCAGAAGCTCGCTCTTGCTGCTCATGTCCTCCAGGATGAGCTCGTAGGGCCACCTCGGCGCGGTGCACGAACGGGCTGCCGAATGCGTCGATCAGCTTCACCGCTTCCGTCGTCATCTTCGCCTAGCGCCGCTCAGGGATTGTCGTCGCCGCCGGTCATATGGAGCTGCCTTCTTTCTATATATACAGGACTGCTACAGTTGTTGGGTGAGCAGAGCTTCAGTCGTCGCAGACATGCAGATCAAAAGCGGATGATCCATTTCTTTTGGTTATCTTGTCTAGAATACTGTGTATAAATAATCCTACACAGGACAGTAGCACATTGACCAATGGACGATGGAACGAAATTGGTGCGAAGCACTCTGTTCGTTCGCAAGAGATTCCAACTATAAACACTAGTACTTTATTTCTCACATGACAAACAAACACAGCACGGTCAACAAGTACTGCATTACAGAACGATGTAGATGTAGTCACCTGGCTGACTAACTCGATCAGTTCGGCAGCATGGACTTCGCTACCGAGATGCACTTGTCCCTGATGGCGGAGAAGTGGGCCAGGAGCTGGTCCCTGTCCGGCAGGCACGCCCTGACGGCTTCGTCGGCAAGGTACTCTCTCCCCCAGCGGCGGAGAGCAGGGTACTCCTCACCGCCGCCAAGGACGGTCACTCCGGCGACCTCCTCCAGCACGCCGAGCCAGTGCGCCAGCACACCTGCGCCGGCTATGTCCGCGAGACCGATGGAATCGCCTCCCAGGAACCTGTTCTTCTTCTTCCCCTTGAGCTGCAGCTGCTCCTCCAGGAGCGCCAGGTTCTCCCTCGCCACCTTCATCGACGCCTCCTGCGCCTCCCCCTCCGTCCACAGCGCCGGCCACAGCGACTTGAGGCACTGCATGCTCACCGATCATATCACACAGGACGTACGGAAACCACATGCATGAACGCGATTGCTAGCTGCTGCTACTTACTTACCTTGTCGTCAAGGAAGTGCGCCCAGAAGCGGGCGGCGGCCCTGTCGTAGGGGTCGGAGGGGAGAAGGGGCGGCCCGTTGAAGGTCTCGTCGACGTACTCGACGATGACGAGGGACTCGCAGACGGCGCGGTGGTCGCCGTGGAGGAGCACGGGCACCTTCTTGTGGACGGGGTTGCTCGCGAGCAGCAGCTGGCTCTTGTTGCCCATGTCCTCGCGGATGAACTCGTAGGGCACGCCCTTGAGGCGCAGGGCCACCGCGGCGCGGTGCACGAACGGGCTGTTGCCCGAGCCGATGAGCTTCACCGGTTCCGGTGGTGTCGTCATCTTCTCCTCTCCGATCGGCGGGTTCCGTTTTGCAGACGGCAGAGAGAAGTCAGAAACGTTATGTTGTCTTCTCTGCACCTTCTGGCTGGCCTAATAGGTGCAAAACACCTGAAAACACTTAAAACCATGTAAATATACGTAACAGATAAAAACACTTGCATTATATGAATCAAAACATATGCAACATTCAGATAAACACACTTGCAACGTACGTCGGAAAAAAAGATGAGACATTGAGAACAGGAGTTTGCAACATATGCAACATCTTGAAACATCCGAAACAATTAAAACATACTCTTGCAAATTGCGCTTTCAATGCAACATCTTCTTGCTGCTCGGAAGAATGGAGGCTCGTCGGTGTGTGGTGTTCACAGGAGCGCAATGTGGAGAGCAAATCCGACGGCGTCGTCCAGTGCCGCGTTCTTTGAGAAGGTGTGGTGGCCGTACTTGTGCGCGACCACCCAAACATTGTTGAGCGCGCAACCCTGCGCCACCTAGTAGAGCGGACACACCGCCAGGCAGAGCGCGCCGCCGGTGGGGAGCGACGGGATCGCCACCAGCGCCACGTAGAGGAGTGTAGCGATGGTAGAGAGGTCGCGTAGGAGGTAGAACGAGGACCTGAGCACGGAGCGCCGGCGGCATGGCGCTCCTGATGTCGGCACTCGGAGGCGGCATGCGAGTAGATAAAAGCGATGAAGAGGAACGAGTAGATATGAATGAGTGGATGAGCAGATTTTTTAGAAACGAAGGAGCGTGGGTTATTGGGTTGGTGTGCGGCCCACCAACCAAGCCTCCGGCGGACAGACGCCCGCTTCAGAGAATTACCGTTCCTTTTCCAGTGTCAGGTATCCTTTGGTTTAGAGATGAGATGAAATGAAATGGTCCGGTCTCTGGTTTTGAGATAGAAAGATTCTATTTTCTGTTTGGTTGATGAGAGATGAGACTAATCCGTTTTGCATTTGGTTTAGAGAAATCAAAAGTGGGATCACCTACTTGATAGGTATGGTCCAAGTGCTCGTCTATTCCCATGCTTCAATCTTCCTTTCCCATTGACATCTGAGACCCATTTTTCATTTTTTTCTCTCTTCTCCTTATCCTTTTGTTCTTAACCACCCGTGCAGTGGGCACGCATTACCGCCGCCTGTGCCTCCACGTTCATGGGCGGATCTATATAAACTATACCTGGTGCAGGCACATCCACAAAAATATAAAAAACAGTGATTATGATCAAATTTTTAATATATTCGCACACATACGGTAAAATCCTATGCACCCACAAAGCAAGCGCACCCCCCTCATATTTGCTCTAACTCCACCCCTGTCCACATTCATGGCTCCGGTAGAGCCACGGGCGAGACTATAAACCAAATATTAGGCCGAAGTGGGATATCCTACTTGGGACCATCCCATTCCTACCCTAGAACCAAACACATGGAATAGAAAGGATAAGTGAACCTGACATGTGAATCCCATGTCAGCATAAAAAGTGGTTTTTGACCCCATTTAAAGTTGGATGAGACCCTAAACCGAATTTAAAGATCCAAAAATAGTATTTTGATAGTAAAGGGATCTGGATGACATTTCTTCCTAAGTTGAAGGATCGGTCATGAATTTTAATCGTGATAGGTGATCCCACTTACGCAGTCTTAAGAACATACCATGCAATCATCATAACAAATATGTAGGATGCATCGTGTTACACCAAATTAAAATCTTCAGTACATAGCAATACATTCCTAAGTAAGGAAAGTTCTTGCAGAATACTCCTAGAATAGGGGTACCGGGTACCAAACAGAAGCACGAAACCAAACCACATCAAACTTCATCACAAACCAGATTGAAAGGTCAGAATATGAAATTTCTTACTGGAATGACAGAAAGGTGTAAATAAGAAATTTCGAGGCCCGAACTGAAACTCTCTGAGTTACGTGTACGGGAGAAAATTGCTCACATATTTTCATGCTGAGGTCACTGCTTATGGCAGCATATGGTTCATATTCTCTAGCTCCCGGCCAGCTTGCTCTGTGACTGTATATAGTACTATTACATATCTGCCTGATCCGCTCGTGGGCTGGTTTCTCTAGCTTATAGGTAAACCAAATCTCTGTAGATTCTGTAGCTTGTAGGTTTGCATTCAACGATTCTGTGGGTTGAATCAGCTAAGCAACTTCTTCTAGATCTATTTGACGGTTGTCGAAAGGAAAGAACAGAAACGAGAAGACGTGGACCTTGGATTCTTCTTCTTTCTTCCACAAGAAGCAGTGCACCTGCCTTTAATTTGACTATATATCGATGTGAGCCAAGGATTTCCTATAAATACAAATAGGAATGGTCTAGTATGTATCTCCAAGCAGATACCAGCAAGCCACAACCAACTAGTAGAAGAAGAAACATGTCTCCGCCTATTAAGATCATCGGCCATCCGGTAAGCCCATTCTCGCACCGCGTCGAGGCCGCTCTGCGGCTCAAGGGCGTGCCATACGAGCTGATCGAGGAAGACCTGAGCAACAAGAGCGAGCTGCTGCTCGCCAAAAACCCTGTCCACAAGAAGGTACCCGTGCTCCTCCATGGAGACCGAGCCATCTGTGAGTCTCTCGTCATCGTTCAGTACGTCGACGAGGCCTTCGACGGGCCGCCTCTCCTGCCGGCCGACCCCAACGACCGTGCCATGGCCCGTTTTTGGGCAGACTTCATGGACAGCAAGGTACTCTCAGTTTTATTGAGAAACAAGAAGCCTGTTCTTGTAGTGAAATCTTTATTTTAACGAATACGCACGAGACTGTGCCCTTTCTATTCACAAAGCAGGAGTAGTGAAATCTGAAAATAAATCTGCTGGTTTTACTGAACTCTGCTGATGAACCTGAACAGCTTCTCAAGCCGTTCTGGCTGGCACACTGGATAGAGGGCGAGGCGCAGAAGGCTCAGGTGGAAGAGGCCAAGCAGAACCTGGCGCTTCTGGAGGAGCAGCTCAAAGGGAGGAGGTTCTTTGGAGGCGACACCATCGGCTACGTCGACATAGCCGCCTGTTTGTTAGCTCCTTGGCTCAGCGTGATAGAGGAGGTGACTGGAGTGACTGTGGTTGACGAAAACGAGTACCCTGCTCTACGCCGGTGGTCCAGAGAGTACAATTCCTACGAAGATCTGAAGCAGTGCGTCCCGGACAGAGACCAGCTCGTCGCCTTCTATAATGAAAGGAAGGAGGGGTACAAAATGTTTGCTAGTGCATGGTTGCAACAGTAGTTGGGTTCTACAAGTAGAACAGGTCTTTATGTGTGGAATACTAATGTATGGATCACAAAGGGCCTGTGCCGGAATAACATTAATGAGAGCCTAGCTAGATAAGTAGATAACCATGTGCATGTCTCAGGCAGATGGATTATCTGGGAGTTTAGATGAGTTGACCATCGAAACCCCAATTCAAAAAGCATTTTGGTAACCTAAAGCAGTGATAGGCCTGAAGTTTTGTCAAAGCGCACCACACAAAAAATTTCATATGAAAGTCAGTAAATTCCAATGTAGAAATTCAGTAAGCAACGGTAAAATTTGCTCTGCAATTTGGTATTTTACAGTAACTACAAACTAAGGTAAGTTTGTGCTCTATATGTAGTGCAACATAGCATTAATTTTGTTGAAACTAGTTCTATATTTCCGAGAACATATTTCAAATTCTGTTAAAATTATAAGTATAACATACTGCAATACTCTCTTTGAGTTTTGACCATTAAAGTTGTCACTTATTCTTTTTTTTTTTGAACAAACACTATGCCAGAAAAGATAATAATTGTCGAACTATTACAGCTGATTGTTTTGGAACTGACAGTGATAGGGTATCACCGCCGGTTCGTACCTTCAACCAGCAGTGATAGTAGATCTGACAGTGATAGGCTATCCACTATCACTGCCGGGTCGTAGCTTGAACCGTCCGTGATAGGCAAGTCATGGCAGAGAATCCTTTCCCCTGTTTTATGTTGAAAGTTTAACCTTCAAAGCTGAAACGAATTCTTCATATTCCCTGTTGTCAGATATTAGATATTTTGGACCAAAAGTTCATAGGCCAAACGAGTAAAGTCTCAAAATCTGAACTGAACGTTTCCCTGGCCGAAATTGGAAGTTTAGAACCTTAAATTTCTTACTGGAATGACGGTTGCTGTGACGACGCTACAAACTGAAACTGAAAGAAGTTTCCATGCAAAACTGAAACTTGTCCAGCTATGTTCGGAAGAAAAATGCCCACAAATGGATATGCTGAGGTCACTGCTTACACCAGGCATACGGTTCTCTATAGCTCCAGATCTTTGGTAAATAAAACCTCTCTGGCCTAAGCTGCATTAATCCTAGTGATCATGGAGACATGTACTAACGGGTCCACTTCCACCTGAAGGCTTAATTGCATCCAGCTGAAATTTGGCTTATGCTAATGCTTATGCTAAAATGTTGTGAAAAAAAACAATATTCGTTCGTTGAAAAATACTGCTGAAGTAGTGCAGCAGAACATGGCCGAGGTGTTCTGTGGACTGAAGCAACGAAGCAACTTGTGGAATTTTTTAAGCATTAGACTATCAGATGGTTGGTAAAAGTGCTCCTTATTGTAGAAGCAGCAGCCCACGTGCCTTTGACCATACTGATATGAGCCAAGCAATCTTGATTTTTCTCCTATAAATAGGAATGGTTCAGTAAGTTTCTCCAAGAAAACAGCAAGCAGCCTGAACCAGCTTAGCTAGCAGAAAGATGTCTCCGCCTGTTAAGGTCCTCGTCCATTTCGCCAGCCCATTCGCGCACCGTGTCGAGGTCGCTCTTCAGCTCAAGGGCGTGCCATACGAGCTGACCCAGGAGGACCTAAGCAACAAGAGTGAGCTGCTGCTCGCCAACAACCCTGTCCACAAGAAGGTGCCCGTTCTCTTCCATGGCGACCGGGCCATCTGTGAGTCTCTCGTCATCGTCGAGTACATCGACGAGGTCTTCGACGGGCCGTCTCTCCTCCCGTCCGACCCCTACGACCGTGCTATAGCCCGTTTCTGGACAGACTTCGTGGACAAGGTATTCTCATTTCAAAAATTAGAAGGCCCCGGTTCTTCTGAAATCTGAACATCTGCTTGTTTTACTGAACTCTGGTGTGATGAAACAGCTCACCGTGCCGTTCTGGATGGCACACTGGGCAGAGGGCGAGGCGCAGAAGACTCTAGTGGAGGAGGTCAAGCAGAAGCTAGCGCTTCTGGAGGTGCAGCTCAAGGGGAAGAGGTGGTTTGGGGGCGACACCATCGGCTACGTCGACGTAGCCGCCTCTGTGTTGGGTCCATGGCTCAGCATGGTAGAGGAGGTGACCGGAGTGGTTGTGCTTGACGAAGAGGAGTACCCTGCTTTACGCCGTTGGTCTAAGGAGTACAATTCCTACGAAGCTCTGAAGCAGTGCGTCCCGGACAGAGGCCAGCTCGCCGCCTTCTATACCGAACGGAAGGAGAAGTGCAAAATGATTGCTAAAGCATGGTTGAAGCAGTAAGCCAGTAACATGTCTTTGTGTGTGGAATAATGTATGGATGACAAATGGCCGGCCTGTGTTCAGATGGAATTATAGTACTGTACTGTAGTTACTAGGAGTACTTTTACTAAGTGTATTTGCATTTGTTCTCTGTGGGCTACCTGCTAATTTCCAGCCCATTCCAATGGTCAACTCATATAAATAAACCCAGTTCAAAACCTTCCGATTTCAATATATGTAAAACATCCACACACAAGTTTTTTGAATGGCTTCATTCCAAAAAATTTCTCCAATTTCAAATTGCTCGTCTCAATTTTGAATAATTGTTCTATCAATCAGCGCTCGAGCATGGGCTAAATTTGTGGCTTACATCTAATCAAATTTGTTTATCATTAGCAAACTAATGGCGTGGGTCAATCCGGAACGAGGGAGTTGAGTTCACAAGTTTTTGGCTGGCCCTCTCCGCCCCGCGCGCCTCACCGCCGGTGGCCACTCCGGCCCCGGTGTCCACCTAGAAACTCGACGCTGACCGCCCTGATCGCGCCGCCCACCAAAGCCATGGAGCGTGGCTCCTGCTCGCGCCAGTTGTGGGCCGATGAGGTTGAGGAGGAGGAGGCCGCTCGGAGTACCGGAAGATCCGCCTTTCAGGAGCTGCCTCCCCTCGCCGCTGCTGCTCACGCCGAGCGCCAGTTCGCTTGACCCTGAGGCGGAGCCGTTCGTAGCATCCCCTGGTGGATCTGGGGGGAGGCTCCATTTCTCTGACTCGGAGGCGTCGCTCGACGACTCTGACGCCGAGGCTCCTCAGTCGGGCCGCGGCAAGGCCGTGCTGCGTCCGCGGTAGCAGCGTCGTCGTCGCCGCCGCGGCCCACGCGCGGGGAGGTTCATGGGCGATGCGCGGAGGGGCAACGGGGGTGGCCGGCAACTGCAGCCTCGCCATCTCACCTCCATTGTTGTCCACCCTCCCCGCATGTCCATGGCGCCGGACGCGGAGGGCTTCCGTCAGGTGCAGAGCAGGAGGCGCTGGCGTCGCGTCGCTTCTCCTCGACGGCCGGTGCCCTCGAACTTGGTCGGCTTGTGCTTCAATTGCCTCGCCGGTGACCACGTGCATGCCGACTGCACTTTCCCGGCCAAGTGCTACAACTGCAGGGATGTTGGGCATCAGGCGCGTGATTGCCCTCTTCCTCCGGTCGCTGGTCGCTGGGAGGGCAAGCGTGGCCGTTCTCCGCCGCGCGCTACGGGTTTCCGACGGGGCGCGCGCCGCCGTCGTTCGTCGCCTAGCCGTGGGGCTTCACCCGCGGACACGGTCTCCGCGCATTCGGCCTCCACCGGCCGGGAGCCGTCGGTGCCTCCGGTGTGCCAGCCTCCCACCCCGGAACCCCAGGTTAACGATCCGCCGGCTGGCAACGCTGGGCAGCCCCTGCCCGCCGCGGGTCCGTCTGAGGTCGCCGGGGACGCTGTCGCTGATGGGCCTCTGGATCAGCCACCCGCGCCGGAATTACCTCGGCTGATTCCGCGCGCACTGCTGAGGTGGGTTGAGGCCCCCCTGCGTCGCCGCGGACGCGCGCAAGGACTCCATTGCTTGGGCTAGTCGTCGTTCCCAGGACCCCGGAGCTGCAGGCCGCTGAAGATGCTCTGTCCATGGCCCTGCTCGCGCTCCTGGTCGGCACCAGGCCTGTGGTCACTCCGACCATGGTTTTGGACCATCTCGAGGAGCACTTCGGGATCCCAGATGACCGAGTCTCCGTCCGCCGTACGAGGCCGAATGATTTCATCGTCCGTTTCAGTCGCCGCGAGGATCTCGAGCGTGTTCTGAGCGCTGCGCCCCCAGAGCGGGCACCATTCACCCTGCAATGGAGACGTTGGAGTCGCTTGATCATGGGTTTGGCCGGCGCGTTCAGATTCAATTCGCGGGCCCGTCGTGACGTTGTACGCAAGTTCTTGGCACAGGAGCGCGTATCTGTCGTATGTCTCTGGAAGGAAAAGAACAAGAGGACTTCAGATGTTGTTGTTGGAGGTCGACATCGTCGCTCGGACACTGCACCAGGAAGCGGAGGAGTGGATCAAGGCTGGATTCTCCTGCCTTGCAGCGCTTTGCCCTTACTGGTTGTCGCAAAATTTAGTTCCAGTGTAATATCGGTGACCTTTGAATCCAGTAGCTAGGTTCCCGGTCAGCTGCTTGCGATGGCCCCTCGCCACCGTCGGTGCTTGCCTTTGTTTTGTGTGTTTTAAGCTCTATTTTCTCTTAATGAAATACGGCTGGTGGGTCCGATCGGGGGAAAAAAAAAACTGGAATGAGGTGGTCCGCTGCTTTTTGACTGGATGGACTCGTTCCTCAAATTGACATGTCACTAGTATTTTTATAAGAACCAACGTCTCAAATCAAACGGGGCCATAGCCTTGACGGTATTTTTATAAAAACTCCAAAAATACTTTGGATTCAAACCGAGTCTTAGCTCCTTCGGCCACCGTAGCAGGAGAGTCAAAGCTAAATGAACCATTCCAAACGTATCCACTTCATCCCTCTAAAATAACTGCACATCTTATTTTTCAATATTATAAAAATATTATCAATATTTATTTCTTCTAATATATTAATTATTTAAAAAATATTTTACTGTTAATCTAAAGTACTTATTATGTATCATGAATGATGGCATTTTTATTTATATATTCGGTCAGGCTTAAAAAGAATTTGACTGCTTAGAAATTAAGATGTGCGATTATTTTAGAACCAATGGAGCACATCACTGGTTCTCTCGTGACACGGAGGAACGTTACCGGTTAGAGATGAGGAAGGCAAGACATGTGGACGGTCCTCCCGTCCTTGTCAAAGGAACGAACGTGGGTGCCAAGAAAGTCTGAAGCTTATCTCAAAAAAAAAAAAAAAACGTCTGAAGCTGCCACCAGAGTCCACCAAAAAAGCGACCGGGTGGGTCAGCCTCAGCCACTGAACTGAGTCTTTTTTCTTTCAACTATGAAACTGCTGACGCTTGGTTAACAAAATGGAAGGAATTAAAAACCCCTCAGATCTATGCTGAGGTCATTGCTTATGCCAGGCAATCAGTTATGGCACTCGATGGTTGCTGATGACTCAATATATATTATATTATCTTCCTGATCTGCTCATGTGGCCATAAATCTAGGATTGTTTGGCCAGGATAGCAGCAACTGAGGAAGAACATCGACATGTCGTCTCCGCCGCCGCCGGTGAAGCTGATCGGCTTCTTCAGCAGCCCGTACGCGTTCCGCGCGGAGGCGGCGCTGTGCCTCAAGGGCGTGGCCTACGAACTCATCCTGGAGGACCTCTTCGGCACCAAGAGCGACCTGCTGCTCCACCACAACCCGGTCCACAAGAAGGTTCCCGTGCTCCTGCACGGCGACGGCCGCGCCATCTCCGAATCCCTCGTCATCGCCGAGTACGTCGACGAGGCCTTTGACGGGCCTCCGCTCCTCCCCGCCGACCCCTACGACCGCGCCACCGCCCTTTTCTGGGCCGACTTCATCGAGAACAAGCTCACCAAGCCTTTCTTCATGGCGATCTGGGTGGAGGACGGCGAGGCGCGGCTGCGGTTCGAGAAGGAGGCCAAGGAGCTCGTGGTGCGGCTGGAGGCGCAGCTCGAGGGCAAGAAGTTCTTCGGCGGCGACAGACCCGGATACCTCGACGTGGCCGCCTCCGCGCTCGGCCCCTGGCGCAGCGTGATCGAGGAGCTCAATGGAGTGACGCTGCTGAGCGAGCACGAGCACCCCAACCTGTGCCGGTGGAGCAGTCGCAATGCGACATTATCGCAGTCGCAGCAGTGAAAAGTCAGTAACTGGGTACATTACTACACGTCGTCTCAGCGCGTGTACGTGGGACACGTATAGCACGCGGGCTTTTTTTTCAGAATAACGTAGATGTGCCCATTGTTTTCAATTCTGAAAACCAACAAGTTTTTTTTGAACGAAATAAACCAACAAGTTATTACTTTTTTGATTTACTGATGTACTGGAGTACTAGTGAAATCGTATGCAGAATTCTTGTTTCACCGATGAACAGAAATCTATGTACTAGACCTATTTTATCATTATATGTCAAAAAAAGATTATATTGAAGTCCCCGTCTAGAAAAGTAGGGAATTGACGACGTCTGGGCATCTGATGGGATAGGATTCCATCGGACGGTACCGAACGGTCCAGCAGAAACGCACCGTACTCCCACCATATCGCTGTAGTACTTCCCCGCCTGCCTCGTCCCTTCACGCACACGTACCCTGCCCTCGTCCGTCTCGTCCCGCCCCGTGCACGCCGCTCCTCCCCCTGACCCCCTCCTCTCTCTCCGCGTAGGCGGGCCCCAGGAGCCGGGATGAGGACGAGCACGTCCTGTTTGCAGAACCCCAGGCGCGTCGCACGCCCCATCCGCCGGCCCGCACCCCTTCCCTTGGCACCCGGACCGTGCCCCATGACTCTCTGAACATACCTCTGAAACACGAAACACTTGAACGCAACATACGTCTGAAGTAGATGAAACATTTAAAACATACACTTGCAACATGTGTGTGAAACATACGTAACATCCAGATAAAACACTTGCAACTTGCAACATGAAAGCACTTATTGCAACATAATATTGTAATAGCTGAAAGATTTCGAGCATACTTTTGCAGCATATGTGTGAAACATATGCAACATCCAAATAAGCACACTTCCAACATACGTGAAACATTTGGAATGGACGCTAGCAACATACGTGTACAACTATTGCAACATGTGCAGAATCACGATATATTTTTGCAATATCCATATGAAATACTTGTGACATACCTCTGAAACAATTGAAACATACACTTGTAACATGCTCTTTCAATGCAACCTCTCCTTGCTGCTCGGCAGAATAGAGGCTCGTCAATATGTGGTGTTCACCGGAAGCAGCGGCTCGGTGGCGCTTGTAGGCGACGGGCCGGCGGCAGTGGCTACACATCGCAGAAGGGAGGCATCGGCCGCACGAGCGGTGGGGAGGCCGTGGCCGCGTGACTTGGAGAGGGCAGCAACACGCCGCACCTGGCAGGGCTAGCAGCCGAGCCCCGCGACTCAGAGGCGGCCGCACGCCGTGCCTGATAAGGCCAGCAGCCGAGCGATGTGCCTCGGAGGCGGCCGAGCGGTGCTTATATAAATAAAATTTTTAAGTTGATAAGTTTTTTCTGAAACAAATTATATAATGCGCAGGATAAGTTGGTTATATTTTTCTTTAAACATGGAACAATGAAAACTTATGCGTACAAGTTTTGTTATTAGTAAAATTTATTATATAAAATTTGCGCTAGAAACATTATGTTAAGAAATTGTTATGATATATTTATCCATGGATAATTATAAACAAAAGTTCGTTTTTAAAGGTTATATCGGTGAGCGAGATCTTCAACAAGTTTGGGTGGTGTTTTAAAAATTGGATTGAGTCCTAATTTTTATGTCTTTGCTTTGTATGGAGTCTTAACGATTCGTATTACCGTGTGGTGGAGCATGATGTCAGTGTCATGAATTTGTGCTAAACGGCTATACTGATTCATTCGTTAATGTTTGGAGACCGAATTACTCATATTACTTAATCTAAAAATATCAAAAAGTTATCGAAAAACAGATTTGAGATTTAATTAAGGAACACAGGCGGGTACCTTTTTTTATATTGAAGCAGTCAAACAAAGTTGGAACCAAACACATGCATCTGGACAGATGGAATTTGGTTGAGAGCATAACCCGGGCTTAACTGAGCCATCAACCATCATACGTGACAGCAGTCCTGACCACTTGTTGCAATACTTTATGCTATCGATGCACCGAATTCAACATCCCCCGCTCGACACAAACACAATTCCTACTGTGTAGCATATGCACGCAGATTACTTCTCCGGAGCCGGAGCCGGCGCCGGCGCCATTAAGAGCCTTTTGGCAGGGCTTCTGCAGGGGCTTTAGCTCCGGCTCCTGTAGGCTGTGCCAAACGCCTGTTTTGGAAAGGGCTCTGTATAGGGAGCCGGTCAAGAGCTAGAGCCATTTTTTACCTGCGCAGGAGAAGCCTAAAAAATGAGCTTCGCGTGGCTCCTTGCTGTGGGTTCACGTCGTCTAATTCGAAATTGCCCCTGTACTTCAATGGTAATTACTACCAAATTGCCACCGCATCTTTATCCCTTCCCCTCTTAATTACCAAATCCACCAAGTTGTGACACCACACGACGCGCTCAGCGTGACCGCGAGAGAGGTCGCGACCACGCGCTAGGGTTCCGATGAACCAGCTGCGGCGTCCGGCGGCCGGTGGGCGGAGCACGCACACGAGTGGATCTGGCGGCCCTGGTGCTCCAGCAGCCGGCGCGAGGATGGCCGCGGCCCGGACCGGCGGATCGGAAAGCGCCGCCACCGGCGTCTTCAGCTGCTCCGGCGCTCCTCTAGCTGGCGCGACGGCCGCGTCGTGGCCTAGCGGACCAGCAGGCGCCGCCACCAGCCTGGCCGCTACCGGGAACGCCTCCATGTCAGGCGGCCTGGGCGATGGGTTCCCGGACTGGTTCAATGGCGCGGCGTCCGCCGCACTAGGCTCGGATTGGCTGTCGTATGAGATTGGTGCCACCCATGCCGAAGAGGAAAGTGCTCCGGCCCCAGTGCAAACCACGTTGTCAACTCGCCGCAGGGGAGGTGGGCGCACTGGGAGGAGAACAAGGCCACCGGTTCAAACAAGCACTCCTGCTGTCGACACTGAGGCTAGGTGAGATATGCTTCAGTTGCATAACTATGATTTTGTTCATGCAATGAATTGTCCTGTGATTTTGTTTATGCAATGAATTGTCCTGTGATATGCATAAAAATGATCTGTTAGGATTTGTGATGCTAGATTATCATGCTATGATGGAAGGAAACATATTATTGCCATGCATTCCTGTGTATGTACTGTCCTATTTTGATTGGATAGTTCTTTGCTAACCTTGTAAGTTCTTTGCTCAGCATGGCTGACTGGACGGATGAAAATGTTAGGATAGTTTGTGAGCTTTTTGCCGAACAAGTGGAGATTGGAAATCGTTCAAATACTCATTTGAACAAAGCTGGTTTCACAAATGTGATCCAAAAGTTCAAACAGAGGACATGAATTCTATACACAAGAAAGCAGTTTAAAAATAAATGGGAGAAGTTGAAAGTTGAGTATGGTATTTGGAAGCAATTGGTTGATAGGCAGACCGGTATTGGATGGGATGAAAGTGGCAAGAATATTAACATGCCTGAAGAATGGTGGAAGAAGATGGCAAATGTAAGTTCAAATAAATTTGCATGTACTTCCATTGCAGGCTGTATATTTTGAAACGTCTATATTTTGTGTTTCCATTGTAATTGAAACCAGTATATTTGTGGTGTTTCCATTGCAGGCTGTCAAGGGATCAGGACGTTTTCGATATAAAGGCCTTCAAAATGAGGACAACCTGAGCATAATGTTTGAAGACCTTCGTAACACGGGTGACGACCATTGGGGTCCCTCTAGCGATGTAGCACCATCACAGGCTATACCTTTGGATGATGATGATGAAGATGAGGGCGAGAATGAAGATGATAGTGATCCTGATGAAGTAACACCAAGTGCCAGACCCAAAAGAGGTAAATCTCAAGGTAATGCAAAGGGGAAGAAAACAAAGACTAGTGGCGGCCAGTGGTTTCAGGAACAAATGGGCAAACTTTATTTGACTGTGTTGTATGAGATCATTTATTTGGCTGTGTGTATGAGACCATTTATTTATTGCTGTTATTATAATAAAAATTGTGGTCCTCTCTCTATTTATTGGTACTTATTGAAGTGTGTTTGTGTGGTAAACAGATCTGAAACTGCAGATAATGATATGGATGACAGTGGGAGTGATGAGGATGATGATGACTGCAAAATAAAGGCTTTGAGAGTGTTGCAATCTGCTCAAAACAATATTTTCTGTACTGCACTTCTTCTCAGCAAGTATTATTTGACATACCTTCATAAGAATGAGCCAAGAATAGCTGGACAGACTGGATATGCTAAGGTACTGGAAATTTTGCAAACTCTAAATGGGAGCCATAAGATGTTCAAAATGCAGACTGCAGCATTTTACATCTTGCATGAATTGCTGGTGAGTACTTATGGTCTGAAATCATCCATTCATATGAACTCTATTGAAGCACTTGCTATGTTTCTTATGGCATGTGGCCATGGATGGTCCAATGGTGCTACACAGTATGTCTTCAACCATTCTGGAGAGACAATTAGTAGAAAATTTGAAGACGTATTGCACTGTATGGTGGCAATGTGTGAGGACTACATAAGGCCAATAGATCCTAACTTCTCTACAACACACCCTAGGATTTCCAATGATAAAAGAATGATGCCATTTTTTAAAGATTGTATTGATGCACTAGATGGTACCCATATTTCCGCAACACCACCTTCACATGATGCTATTAGATACTTTGGTAGAAGTCGCAAAGCAACACAAAATGTTCTTGCTGTGGTTGATTTTGACCTACGGTTCACCTATGCCTCTATTGGACAACCTGGGTCCATGCATGACACAAGTGTGCTCTTTCATGCTTTAACCAAGGATCAAGACAAATTTCCACACCCCCCTCAAGGTATGAATGCCTAAGATGCTATTGACAAATTTAACACAACCTGTTGTATGGTAATATATTAATATGTCTTCTTTTTCACTTGTGTGCTTAGGCAAATATTATCATGTTGATGCTGGATACCCAAATCGCCTTGGTTACTTGTCACCATACAAGGGGGAAAGGTACCATATTCCGGATTGGAGGAGGGGTCCTACTCCAAGTGGCCAGCAAGAGCTCTTCAACCATTTGCATTCAAGCATTCGCAATGCGGTAGAACGTACATTCGGTGTGTGGAAAATGAAGTGGATAATCCTTATCAAGATGCCGAGTTACCCAATGGAAAAGCAAAAGATGATTGTTGCGGCAACCATGTGTCTACACAACTACATTCATGAGACCAATGTGGTAGATAGAGATTTCCACAAATGTGATTGAAATCCAGACTACATACCAACCATACCTTCTAGATACGCAAGACATTCAAATCCATCAGATACATCAACTACTGCATCCAATGATCGAAACATGGATAGATTCCGGGATGACATTGCAAGAGCAATTTTCCTTTCTAGATCATCATGATCATGTAGTTTGATGATATTTCAATATCATTCCTACTTTTGTAAATGTTATTGTAGTCTAACGAACACTATTAGTAGGTAACATTATTTTACATGTTATCCTTGTTAATTTTGGTCAGTCGTTTGACAAAGTGACATCAAGGATCATATGTACAACCAAGTTAAAGCAAGGGCAATATGAACATTCATCCTCTTCCATCCATTCTAAAAAAACAGAAGGAACCGTTTTGCCAAACATTTTCCAAAACGGTTTGAGCTCCTCCAGAGTAGCTCCTCCTTCGCCGTGGCCACAAACGAGTCCTTCCTGGCGCTGAAACGAGCGAGCAGCTCCTCCCTGTCGGACAGGCACTGCTTCACGGCATCGTGGGAGGTGTACTCCTTCGCCCACCGGCACAGGTCCGGGTACTCCTCGGCGGTGACCAGGCTGACGCCGGCGACCTCCTCGCAGACCGGGAGCCAGTGCGCGAACGCGCTCGCGGCGACGTCGAGGTAGCCCACGGCGTCGCCGCCGAAGAAGCGCTTCCCCTTCCCCTGCCCCTCCATCAGCTTCAGGTTCTCCTTGATCTCCTTCACGAACCCCCTCTGCACCTCGCCCTCCGTCCACATCGCCAGCCAGAACTCCGTCGAGCACTGCCGGCGTCCAGGAACATGCACACCATTCGATCGATCACGACTTCGAACGAACCTGAAGAAACTTGTGATGTCAACCGGGGTTAACTGTTGCCTTGTCATCGATGAAGCGGGCCCAGAAGCGATCGGCGGGGAGGAGTGGCGGGCCCTGGAACGCCTCGTCGACGTACTCGACGATAACGAGCGACTCGCAGACAGCGCGGCGGTCGCCGTGGAGGAGCACGGGCACCTTCCTGTGGACGGGGTTGTGCTGCAGCAGCAGCTCGCTCTTGTTGCGCAGGTCCTCCAGGATGAGCTCGTAGGGAACTCCCTTGCGGCTCAAGGCCGCCTCCGCGCGGTGGCTGAACGGGCTATCGAAGAAGCCGATCCCCTTCACCGCGCCGCCGCTCATTTTTGCTTGCTTGCCCTCGCCGGCCGTAGTCGCCGTCGTGATCTTCTTTGGCTAATGGGTGGGCTTGTTGCTATTTGTAGCGCCTCATTACTGAATTGAGTACTGCTACACCAGCTAGTTTACTTGATTTTTTTGCTGAATCTTCTCCGGGAATAATTGAAGGGTTTGTTTAGAGCGCTCACCTCGTCTGTTCGTTTGGCTTATAAGCCGTACTTTTTCAACCAATGAATAGTATTTTCTTTTCACAATAAATTAGCCAACAATATTTTCAGTCATGGCTTATCAGCCAAACGAACAGGGCACTAGTTTCGTAGTTTTGCGGCTCGTTTCATAAAGATTGTATTCCAGTTCTGACTAGTCCTAATAGGTCAAACAGTTTTGTTTTGATGACCAACGATTCAAACCCGTATACAGTTATTTGTTTAACAACATGTGAATTATGTACAGAAAAACATACAGAGTATGGTATTAAACTGTACTAATTTCAAGAAATTGATGGTAGCATGTAGAAATGTTTGATTTGGCTCTTATCGCCAGTGCTATTCAGCCGACTTTAATCCGTACAAATCAACCGTGGAACAATATTTTTCTCTCACAACAAACCAGTCGTACAAATCAGCAGAAGCCGATTTAAATACTAGCCGAACAGGGGTAGAACAACAGTATTTTTCAACGAAACAAACAGTATTTTTCTATCACAACAAATCAACATAAGTGTCAGCATAAGCCAAATTTCAATGGAACGAACAAGGCTAAAGAGAGAGTAGTTTGGTACAGCAGTAGACTGTAGCTTGGAAATGGGCTAACAGTAAGATCTACTTTGATTCCAGTTTTGCGTGCTTCTAAATCATCAAAGGACATGCATTGATTCTTTTTTTTTTCACCATCACGTAAAAGATTTACGTACTTTTATATTAAGAGAGAATAGTTTGATTACAATAAGGAAGGCTTAAATCTTTTCAATAAAGCTCATGCCCTCCCCGACATGATGCAACACTAGCCTATTACTCGCTGTGATTCGGAGTTGTTCATGGATCAAGGACTGAATTGGAAGGTGGAGAATTTAGAGGTCCGTACTTTGCAACCAGAGCATTTGTAAAATAAACATGTAGTCACAACTTGGTGGATTATGATAATGGCACTGCAAGCACCCAAATGTTCGGACGTCCGTGGCTGCAGTATGTTTCTGCGCCTGACGTCGGCATCTGCCGCTCCTAGGAAGTTGCGCCCCCAATTCGTGCCTCTGTTAGGACGCTCGGGTCTCCTCCGCTTTCCGCCCACGCCCCCTCTGCTTGCCGCATCCACATGCCACGCGGGGACTGCCTGCGCACCTGCCGCCATCGCCCTCCGCTTCCCACGCCTGCTACCGAGCAGCGCTCCATCTCTCCACTCCCCCACGAGTATGCACGGTGCTCAAGCAGCCACAGTAGGCGGTTGTGGCAGGGTGGTGTCACATTACGACATGTGCAACATCCCGATCTACTTTTAAAACATACAGATGAAACATTTACAACATACGTACGAAATAGCTAAAACACTTGCAACACTTCAAAACTCTTGAAAACTATTGCAAACATATGCAGCATACAGATAAAACACTTACAACATATGTGTGAAACACATGCAATATCTAGACGAAACACTTGCAACGAACGTCTAAAAATACAGATGAAACATTTGGAGCATACACTTGAAACATACGTGTATAGCCATTGCAACATGTGTAACATCACGATCTATTTTTGCAACGTCAAGATGAAATATACGAAACATCAAGACTCGTGTCAAAGTTAGATGGTTTTGTAGTTGGAGCATACCAAATGTTTTCTAATAAATTAAAATTATACGAAACCTTCTAGTGACGTGGTTTTTAAAACAACATCATGACCTCCACCGTCATCAAAGCAGCACACTACCATTATATCTTATTTAATCTAAACAACATCATGACCCTACTGACGTGGCAGGCCAGGAGTTTACATGTTCTCATACAATGAGTCAATGACACAACAATCCCCAAGACCCCACACGAACGCCATCACCGTATTACTGCTGCTGCAGCGTCGCCGTGGCCACTGCTTTGACCTTGCCTTTCTTTTTGCAGTTGCGGAGAAGTGGGCTTTGAGATGCTCTATGCTCGGTAGGCACTGCATCACAGCTTCGTTGGACGTGTACTCCTTCGCCCAGCGACGCAGAGCAGGGAAGTCGCCGTCTCCCCCCACCAAGTCAAGCCGCGCCTCTGTTAGAATCCCGAACTGACGAGAGGAAAAAGATGAACAACACATGCGAACACAGTGGACACACGATGATCTGTTGCTGCAAAGCGGCAGCGTTTTCTGTTGCTTGTTATCTCTATTTAAAAGAAGTACATGTATTGTTACATGGAAACAAATGACCGAGCTAATCCCAGCATGCTCGTGATAGGCAGTTGCCATCCCAACCACATGGGCCATGCCGCAATCCTCGCAGCGGCCGCTAATGGCGCTAGCCGCCTCTACCTGCTATAGTTAGGAAGCTCAGGACTTATCTCAACAATCTCATCCTAAGTCCTAGAGCAACTAAACTAAGTTTTTTCACGCCGATCCCACCACGGAGTTCCTGAAACCGACTGCGGCCGAGCGCCTTCGTGAGAATGTCACTCAGCTGCAGCTCAGTGCCGACGAACTCGACGTCGATCAGCTTCCTGTCGCAGCATTCCCGGATGAAATGAAACTTCACGTCTATGTGCTTACTCCGGTCATGGTGCACAGGATTCTTCATCAGTGCGATGGCGGACTTGTTGTCCACCTTGAGCTTGGGCGCGATGACACAGCCAGCAGCCGAGCCAGCCAAACCCCTTCACACGCAGCTCCGGCAGCCGCAATGTATTCCGCCTCGCAAGAGGATAGTGCGACCACCTTTTGCTTCGCCGACTGCCATGCAATCGGCCCGCCGGCGAGGAAGAAGATGAGTCCGCTGGTGCTTTTCCTGTCATTGACATCTCCTGCCAAGTCGATGTCGGAGTAGCCCATCAGGTGTGGCGCGGTGTCCTTGCCTCCTCCCGGGTGGTAGTGCAGACCCCAGTGCACCGTGCCCGCTGAAAGGATCAAGATGCCCAAGAGTGGGGGTGAATTGGGCTAATTCTAAATTTCTTTCAATAACTAAATCCTACGGTTAGCCCAATTAACCCCTTGTGCCTAAAAAGTGTTTCTAATTGTTCTACCGCACAAAAGATATGCAACCTAAGTTCCAATCCGACTCTAGCATAGCAATTCTATGAATTGTAAAGACAAGAATTGAATTGCTCAAAGTAAATGCACAAAGTAAAGAGAGGAGAAGGAACGCGGCGATGTTTTACCGAGGTATTGGAGAGTCGCCACTCCCCACTAGTCCTTGTTGGAGCACCCGCGCAAGGGTGTAGCTCCCTCTTGATCCGCGCAAGGATCAAATGCTCTCTACGGGTTGATTCTTCGACACTCCGTCGCGGTGAATCACCCAAAACTGCTCACAACTTGAGTTGGGTCATCCACAAACTCTCTGGATGATCACCAAACTCCCAATCACCACCAAGCTGTCTAGGTGATGGCGATCACCAAGAGTAACAAGCATGAACTCTCACTTGACCACAACAAGCCTAGAGAGAAGGGTGGATGCACACTTTGCTACTCTTGATCTTCACTAATGAGGGCTCTCTTTGGATTCTCAAATCTCAATCACCTTATTAGGGCCTTGCTCTTTTTGGCACTCTCTAAGGTGTTTCTCAGTTGTTGGAATGAGCAAAAGTATCCCCACACACGGGTGGAGGTGGTATTTATAACATCAGCTGAAAAACGAACCGTTATGTGCCACTGCGGGGTGACCGGACGCTCCGATCATGTTGACCAGACACTCCGGTCAGTTCTCCCCGAGTTCCAGTGTTTACTGTGTGACCGAACTCTGGTAGCGTCCGGTCAGCACTGACCGGACGTGTCCAGTCGTGATTTTTCCTCTCTAGAACCTTACTGTAAACGACCGGACGTTGGCTCTCAGCGTCCGGTCACTTGACCTTCCAGCGTCCGGTCGCACCGAACGCAATCTCCTAAGTCAAATGAATTGACCGGACTCTGCGCTAGCGTCCGGTCGCACCGAAGCCAGCGTCCGTTCAGTATTTGACCCTCCATTCACTTCCAACTCTCGATCATATGTGAATGAAGTTTGCTCCATTGGATCTTAGGCATATGCAGGAGCTACCTAGCGCTAGTTTTAACAAGTGTGCACCACACCTAACTCACTAGACTCACCTAGGTCAAGCTACCCGTCCATACCCCCCTTAATAGTACGATCAAAGGAAAAACAAAGTCCTAGACTACTATAAGTGTCTCTCCAACTCCAAACGACACTTAGAACTAGTCCATCCTTAACCTTGTTGTCCATTCTTTAAAAACCGAACCGATTTCCATCATAGGGGCATGACAACCATGATTGCCCAATCGATCTCCATTACCGTGACCTAACTTAATTGCCTCTGCAAAACACACGTTAGTCACAGTAATCTTATATTGTCATTAATCACCGAAACCCAATTATAGCCCTAGATGCTTTCAATCTCTCCCTTTTTGGTGATTGATGACAATACTACCTCGAGTATGTGAAAGAGTTGAGGTTTTTAACATGCTTGGTTCATAAAAGCTTTTAGCAATAAGAACAAAAGAGTTAGTCAAGCATATATGACCCAAGCCATCATAATGTACTCTAATGATATAAAATAAGCATGAGTACATGTAATAAAGCTCATTTGCATCGGAGTAAAACACGGAAGCAAAAGCAAATGAGCATAACACAAGTGATATGACATATAAGTAATTCAAAGTAGAGAGCACACATGTCATATATCACGATCACGTAGATATCACTATCACATATATATAGTTTAATGCATGAAAATAAACACACGATGAACACGATGAATGCATAGTAGTGTATCACACATAAAAACTCCAAATGTAGTATATAAGCTAATAATATAACTAAGCTCCCCCTAA